TTATCTCATTACTCAACTCATTTACATATCTATAACTTAAATTTAAAAGTTTTTACTTATATTTGAAGAACAAGTTAAGTTGTAACGTTTGTTACCATAAATCGTATATACAATTTCAATTCAAAAAAGGCACGATTATAAGTGGCTTCGCTTTGATAAAATCAATGCTGGTGAGCTAGTAGTTACGACAGATAATTTTATTTGAAAGTAAGCGGTCTTGTACTCTCAATGAGTAATTACGACGAGTAGATAAAGTAGATAAGGGAATGAGAATTCAAAAGTTATTTTTTATTATATAATTTAAAATAAATTAATATAATACTGATTATAAAAAGTTTAACATTACAACATCAGACTTAATAAATTATTTAATAAATATACTTAATATCTTAATAATAATTAAAATTCAAAGCATAATATTGTTATTCTACAATTCTTTATTCCCTACCCTAAATTGTATCTGTTAAGAAAAAACCAAAAGTTCAAGATGACCTAACGAAGCGCATGTTACATGTTCAGTCTATAAGGTTGGGTCATAGATCTGGCTACGCTGGTACTTCCGTGAGAGGATAAGGTCATCCAATAAGATATCCTCCCCTTACCTACCGCTCACGTGTCCAAAGTAATTAAATAGAGAAGTGGAATCTGCGAAATTTCCTGCCAATGCCAGAAAGCACCATGTTTTGTTGTTGGACAGACAATAATTTACTAATATCTACACTTTCCTGGTTATGGGAATTCAATGTCAGAGGCTCCACTCAGCATTAAAGTTACAACTTGAAACGTTGGCTGAAATTCAGCCAAAAAGACCTTGCTGAGTAAGAACAAGGAGGCGTATAGATAGTAGTAGTTCAGAGGCACTCCATCTAAAGATACTAACTACAGCGAAGACAATGTAAGAACATAAAAAATACTGACTACAGCTGAGGCAAGGTAAGAACATACATGTATTTTATACAGGAAATGCAGGATTAATCAATTATTCACTTAAAGGTATAACGTTTACATTATAGCTTAAAATCGTTATGTTCAAAGTATATCTGCATCAATATTATAAAACTTGATCGGGCAGTTTGAATTAGAACCGAAAAAAGGTTTCTGAAGTTTATATTTGGAAAGATGCAATCACTTGAACTTTGAAGTGCACATGCCATGGATTACAATGTCCATCTGTAAAGGGAGAGATGTTCCCTAATCTAAGAATTACACGCTCAATAGGCTGGTGATAGCAATGCACTCACAATTCAAAACTCAGTCGGAGGTTTCAACCTTATCAGCCTCCTGATTCTGTCTTTATCTGCATTCTCCAAATATCCCTTGAACATATTTATAAAAAGATGTCAAGAGCAGTATTAACATGGAAACATACAACGTGATGCTAACTAATGAACAGAAAGCAGAAATATGAGGAACTGCATAAACATAATGATTATTGAGATGACACAGGAAAGCAGGAAATTGCCACATCAATTGAGTAAAAGGAGATTGAGAATACATATTTTAAGGCTCAATAAACACAGCTAAAAATGATGTCTCAACTGATGCATGGGTTAATACAATAAGGAAGATTATAAATATAAAATGGCTTTGGGATAAGGTCTACAAGAAGTGAGAACACAATAATCACATTTATATGACACCAATAACTGACACATTGAAGAAATCAAATTGTTCATTAAGTGTTCAATCTAATAACTTACCTTCCAAATGATTTCATCCAGACACAAGCATATCTTTCCATACTTGTCCAAGAAAAGGCGCTCTGTTGGCACCTTCCCACATACATCCTTCACAGACGAGGTAATAACAAAGATCACCTCTGCCACTGGAGCAAAAATAAATAAATAAATAAATAAATTGAGGATACAAGTAGTAATAAATTCAACCATGCAATGCACACATTCAATCAATATATTTGGAGAACCTTGGGTCAGTTAATGCATGCACTGCAAAGTCTGGCAATGTATGATTCCTTTCAAGAGAAAGTAACAATAGCTTTCATATGAGTATGGAGCTCTCATGTAATCTTAAAGGCAACACACAAACCATTTCATAGATAATTAATCTTCAGGTCAATTATCTTGATATGAATTGTGATTTAGGAAGAATCAACCTAACTCCTTCACAAAGATGCAGTGCACCTTCTGTTTGAGATTGTTTCCTCCTGGTCATCTGAGAATGTGGATTGTGTGTTTTAGAAATAGAAGACATACTTACATGCAAGTTCATCATATTCATCCTTGCCTACAACAAAGATGCTGACATCCCCAAGCACTGTGTAAACAATATAAACTGACCTGATAAGAAGACAAATGGCTAGGTTCAATAAAATAATATCAAACTTTTCAATCAAAAGATTAAAAATTAATATCTCCTTGAATATAATGTTTCTGACTATGAAGGATACAAATCCAATCAATTTGTTGGTGCCATAGCAAGCTCAATGATTTACTAATTTAATTAGTACCCACTATTCTTATCAGATAGCATGCCTTATTTCAAAACACGTTTGCCTTTTCTCCTTTTTCAATTGAAGAACCATGAATTCATCTCTTTGCCATACCATAGGATTAATAGACAAATTAATCATAACATGACCTATGTAGTACTAAACCATACAATATTCATGAAATGCATGTCCATGTGGTATGGATCTGCAATGTTGTTGAAAATCAATCCAAAATTATGAAGATAAAGCTAAAGGGAAAAATATGTTTATAATTGGCAACTCAAGTTTAGCTTGAGAACCAAACATAAACTTTACTGGTGTCAAAAGGTTGGAAATTTGGGGCTAGAAGTTAGCTTTCCGAGTTGGATGTGTGCAAAGCAAATCTGAACCAGACACAAAAGTAAAATGCTGCAGTTATTACTTGTTGAATCCTAGTGAGGAAGCAGGGATTCTTCCAACAGCATATTCCATAAATGTCCTAACTCCTAGAGAGTTAATAATCTATGCACTATGGCCTCCTGACACTGTTTTCACACAGTTCAAACTCAATCAAGGTTTCTAATCACCACGAAGCACATTGAAACAGCAGTTGCCCAGTTTCAAATTCTAATTAATCCAATTCATTACTCATTTGACCAGTTTTAGAGCAATCAGAGACTGATCCTTCAGTACGAGGGATTAGCAACAATGCAGAGGCTAAAGACTATAAAAGTGAAGGAACATCCGTACTTGTGAGAAGCAACAAGAAGCTCTTCATTTTTTACACCTTTAAGATTATCTGCTCCAAGTTTAACTAAGAAAGTTCTCCAGTGCAGCCGTTCCTCAGCTGGAACTCCATTAAACCTGCAACAATAGTAATACCTTGAATCAGTTCAACCATCTGATCCGGCAGCAAATAATCAAGCTTAGGTAACCATTTTAATTCAACTGGCACTACATGCTTGAAACAATAGAGACCTAGATAAAGAAGAAGAAAGGTTAAGTAATTTATAATGATAACAGCTTCACAAGCACAGGGCTCCAGTCTCTTGGGCTTACAAACAGGTTCAAGTCTTAAGAGTTGAAAGCACTCATCTATGGGAAAATGTTAAAAGGGAGGACCATTTTCAATTTACCCTTTCCAGGAATCAAGTCTTACCTTTTCTAAAACAGACATTTCCCAGATTACATCCTAATGAGCTTAGCATGCTTACCAAATGAAGTGCCTCGCATCTTCCCCATGGAAAAGTGGAAGAAGAAAGTCACTTAAAGGCTGAGAGCCTTCAGAACAGCAACAACCACCCATATCAAGATATGATATGCAGTGATATGTTGCTCAACATGAAAAGCACACAACCATAGGCAGCTTCACCTAGGATCAACAAGCTTTTCTTACAAGTTCACCTTAGAACATGAGAGGCCTTTCTTTAAAGGAATTCAATTGCCACCCTAAGACCATTTCATGGAGCTTTTGATTGCAAATGATAAAAGAAACATAAATATCAGATGAATGACTCACACAATCTAGACAAATTCTCTGTAATTTTGAGCAAAATAACAATACTGTAGATCCTTCATATCTCAAGAGAGATGCAATCAGATTTAAAAGAGTCCTACTGAAATTCAGGGAAAATCTATAACAAACAACGACATAGCAATCGCCCATTTCTGCATATTATCTCAAACGGCTTTCATGTTATTCCAAAAGTTTCCTCTTCGTCTTCTTTCTAAATCTACCTTAGATCCATTTTTCAAATACATACCCACCATAGAATCAAACCGTAAAGCTCCATGGTATATAAATAAAAAGTAAAACATATAAACTGATAACCATTATAAGCTCAGTTTCAAATTCATAGCAAGAAAAATCAACCCAGTTCAGATCTTACCCAGAAACACAACAAACTGATTGAATTTCCCACAACACCCAAATACCCATTCAAGATCTACCCATGTCTCAAATAGATTCAAGCATAATCAACGAATTCAAAAGCAACATGTTAGCCGCATAGAATGCCCACAATGGGTAACAAATTTTTTATGCAAACAGCAACTCAATAACCGGAAAAGAAGCGTCGGAGATCGATCGTACCGTTCAACTAGGATGTTCCCTTCAGAGTTGGCGAACAAGACCGCGAGTATCATTATCTCTTTCTCTTGTTTTTCTTCTCCTTTCTTCTCCCTTTCTTTTCGTTCCTGTGTTCTGAAGGGTGTAATTTACGTTCTCTTGGGTTAATTACTCGACACACCTTCATCTACTACACTTTTCACTCTTTTCCCCTAACTATAGTTTTATTTTCTCTTCCCCCCCCCCCTTTTTTTTTTGGCCAGGGGGGGTGGGGAGGGTGGGGTTCAAACCCCCCTCAAGGTGGGTGCCCACTTGTGCTCTAGCTCTACGTATTGCATCATAAATTTTTTTGAAAAATTTTCCAACTATTTAGTTGTTATAGTTTTTTTATAATAAATAAGTCTCACAACTTAGTTAGTTGTAGAAATTAACTTAAAAAGCATGTTTAAAGCCACATGTTGCACTTAATAACATTAATTTCATGTTAAATATGATCTAATATTTTTAATGAATCAAGAATGAATGAAGATTAATTATCAAGCTCTTGCATTACTAAATTGTTAACTCTTTGTTTATCAATGTAAAATTCAAAAAAAAAAAAAAAAAAGGAAACTCTTTATCTACCAAAAAAACTAACAATCCTAAAAGACCTTTCATGCTTAAAGAACATTATGAAATTAACATTTCCTACTTTCCTTCTACGGGCTTGAACTTGGTTATCTATCGGACACCCCTTTTTGAGTGAAGATGACATATCATATCAAATGGATTCAATACATTGATTGAATTTATTTTTGGCCAACAGTGCATTGATTGAATTGCATATGGCAAGATTATCTCTTCTCTCTTCCTCACAACGAATAGTTTTAGAGAGCTTAGACACAAAACGGATCGGAATTTTCATATATATGGTCTACTACCCCACAAGAATTACTCGTTCCCCTTCCTTTATCCTTCTATTCTAGGTAGAGGTGGGAATGGGACTCAAATCCCAAATTCTTAATACAACCATAACAAGTTTTTTTCAACACTAACTATTGGTTCAATAATTAAGCTATAAAATAAAGCCAATGAATTCTTCATCTAATGGTTGGAGGGTCTAATAATACATTTAGATTTTGGATAAGAGAGTTTGGTCTAATTTATTTTGAATTTTATGATTTATTAGAATGAATGCAGTTATTATACCATGCAATAAAATTATACTTTTAAATTGTATTTTCAATAAAAAAAGATAAGGAACCCATAGAAATTTTAGAAGATTTTAATTTTAAATTCAAATTTTATAATAGTTAAGTTATCAACTCAACTAATTAAAAGATATATTTTTTACATTCGTAACGTGACTAAAATAGTCAAAAACCCCTTTCCTCAAAATTGTAAATTGTTAAAAAAGTTACAAAATAAAATTTAAACATTGAACTTTAAACTTATCAACTCAACTAATTAAAAGATATATTTTTTACATTCGTAATGTAACTAAAATAATCAAAAACCCCTTTCCTCAAAATTGTAAATTGTTAAAAAAGTTACAGAGTAAGATTTAAACATTGAACTTTAAAGTCAATGAAATCAAAATTAAGTTCCCTATACTAGTAGCAAGCGAACGTGAATATTTTTCATCCTGAACTTCCTCATTTATGTTACATACTCAAGGCTGCAACTCCCCCATTTTCTCCAGTCTTTATAAATCCAACCTATCACTCCAAAAAAGGTACCTGGATCTCCTGTGCCTAGCTTTTATTTCCCTCAAATATCCATATTGGCCAAACTAGCACTTCCCAACTCATTGAGTACACTTGCTTAATTCTCCCCCTACACCCTTTGCATGTGCATTGATTCCCTAAACAATTTCAGTAAGAAATTTGCAGTTTCTTCAAAAGTTATACTTGTATGCTCTTGACATCTTGTTGGTTGCAAACTGATGAGACCTTTCATGAACATAGCATATGCTGCTTTAAATTTCATTTAAATTAAGCCAAAAGAAGCCAGGAAAGAGCCATAAAATCGAATGTACAGCCAAACAACCCTCCCTCTTTTCTTTCTGGAAAATTTCTATACAAAAATGCAATTTAACTGACTTAGGAATACCTTTTTTTTTTCTCACTGGGTTGGATGATATGGGATTGACATATACTTAAAAGAAAAAGAGATTATTACTAAATCACAACAAAATTAATGACAACACTTACCTATAAGTATAAAATGGTTAATTCACCTAGCTAAACCTATTCTCAAAAGGCACACCTCTGATCAA